AATTAATATTTATTGTTGTTTTATTGTGAACCACCCAGAGTCACTTTTTTGTGAAATGGGCGGTATCTAAATTTGAAATATAAATAAATAAATAAATTTGCATACAGTGAGATGCTACTTTCAGGGAATTGTTCTTGGTGAACAGTCTTCATATGCTCCTAAGATAATTTATGTTGTCATGTGAATTATGTGGTAGATAAGCTGTCTTTGATAAGCATGGAAAGTTGTTAAGGATCTGAGTCTAAGATTCTCATAGTACTTCATGACTTTCATAATAGAGGGCGAAAAAGTAAAATCTACAACTGTTTGAAGAAAAATCTAATATATAGGGAAAATAAAAGACTGAATCTATACTTAGTCATGCTTTGTGTCAGATTATTTGTGTCAGATTTTTTAAAGAAAATATTAACTATTAACCTTTTTTCTTCCTTATTTTTCATGTGTACAGTATGATATTGTTGTTTTTATTTATTTGTATATATTTATTTATATATCAAATTTGTCACTGCCCATCTCAGTGAAAAGCGACTCTAGGCGATTTACAAATAAAATCAATTAAAATACAATATAAAAACAATCTTAAAAATAATAAATAAATTCCAAGAATGATGGAATTGGTGAATAACTTAGGGAGGGACATCAGGGCACCAGCCATCCCCAGGATTGATTAAAACTCTTAATTGCCCCATGTAAGCTAGCAGAACAGGTCTTAAGTCCTTTCCAGAAAACTGGGAAGGTAGGGGCCCACTGCACCTCTGGGGGGAGAATATTCCAAAGGATGGGGGCAACAGCAGAGAAAGCTGTCCTCCTGGGCCCTGCCAGCTGACATTCTCTTGCTGACAGGGCCTGCAACATGTCCTCTCTGCCTGACTGGGTGGGATGGGTTGATGTAATGGGGGTGAGATGGTCTCTCAGGTAACCTGGACCCATGCCATATATGGCTTTAAAGGTGATAACCAACACCTTGAATTGGACCCGGAAGCAAACTGGCACCCTATGCAGCTCCCACAGCAAAGGCATTATATGTGCCATCCTAGGAGCACCCAAGGTTGTCCGTGTGGCCACATTTTTAACCAGCTGTAGTTTCTGGATACTCTTCAAGGGTAGCCCCATGTAGATTGCATTGCAGTAGTCTAACTGAGAGATGATGAGAGCATGAATGACTGACCGGAGAGCCTCCTGATCCAGAAAGGGGCATAACTGGTGCACCACACAAAGGTGGGTGAAGGCCCTCCTGGCCATGACTGCCACTTGCTCCTCAAGCAGGAGTCATGAGTCCAGGAGGGCCCCCAGTTTACACACCGGGTCTGTCTTGGGCAGTGCAACCCTGTCCAAAACCAAAGATGGTAAATTCCCAGATACAGAGAGACCTCCAATCCACACCCACTCCATATTACCAGAGTTCAGCGGAAGCCTGTTGCACCCCATCCAGACCCCCACAGCCTCCACGCACCGCAAAAAGGTGGTCACAGCATCACTCAGGGTACCTGGGATGGAGATGTATAGCTGGGTATCATCTGCATATTGATGATACCTCATCCCATGATGGCGGATGATCTCACCCAGTGGTTTCATGTAGATGTTAAAAAGGAGTGGAGAAAGTACCAAACCCTGTGGCACCCCACAATGTATAGTTCTTACCATTTATAAGTATTATATTTAATCTCTAATACAAACTTTCAGTTTTGTGAGCCACTTTATTTTCTATGCAGTAATGGCAGGAGTAGTCAGTTTCATGAAAAGAAGTTAATCAGGCTTGAATTGTGAGGGTGAAATGAGTGTTAGCTAAGAAAATACTCAAGAGTTCCTCAATCCAATTTTATTTAAATTATATGATTTGCTATAATTATTAAAAATAGCAGCAACAAAGTTGATAACAAGAAAAGGGATAAGTCTCTCCTTATCTTCAAGTCACTCCCTAATATTTTCCATATCCAAAGGTCAAGTATTGCATAAACTGTAGAATTACTACTTCATGGAATTCAAACAGCTATTTCATAAAGTCCGCTGGAGGCAGATAAATTGCTTTAGTAATTGTCAGTTGGCCATCCCTGGCTTAAATATTCTCCATATAAAAAGAAATATAGGGACATAAATTCTACTTAAACATCACTTATTAACATTGTGGCAAAATTAATGGTCTTGTTTATGCCCAGATGGTAGCTTATCACTGTTGTGTTAATCCTCAGCAAAGATCTTGTTAAAATAGATAATGTTATATCTGTTTTATCTGTATCTTGTGCAGAACCCATTTCTTATTAGTTAATGACTTGAAATATTTATCAGTGATCAAACAGCATGGGAGTTTTATTTTTGTCAGAAAAGCGCAATTATTTTGTATGTATATCATTTATTAATAGCTAGCAAACCTTAATATTCAGTACCGTAAAAATTCTATATTAAAAACATTTTACAGATTTTTATTCCATCTCTGTGTTTCTTTGTGAATTCAGGTATTTGAATCACAGTACTAGTGTTTGTGTTTCTATAACATTTTGGTCCATTTGAGTAACAATATTTAACAGATCTAATAGACTGTTAGATCACTACTGAAGAAAACCTCATGACACAGAAGATCATGGGGCCTCTTCTTGATCTAGGAAATCTGCAATCCCCAAATAAAACAGATGAGAAGACCTTCTATCCAAGTAGTCTGAGAGGACAAAGAACATACCATTTCGTTGCCGCTTGCCAAGAGATTGCTTGCATTCCAGAGAATAGAATCTCTTCATGGGATGAGATTCCTGACTCTGTCCTCTGCATCTGCCTCTTGGGGCTGGTACTTAAAATAAGAGCTGATCTGGGGCAATGAAGTTGCCACTAGAGAGGCAACTTTCAGACTCAGGTCATCTCTACTCCATCTTGTTTTCTATAATGTAGGTACCAAATGGGATGAAGTGTGTAATGATGTCTGGTGCTAAGGAATGTGTTTGCAAGAGTGAGGAATGGAAAGAAGCCTGAGAGTAAAGAAGCCTGACTGAAGTAAAAGTCATCAGGGAGAAATAAGATGAAAGTCTACATCTTGGCTATTGTTGGGAAAGTGGGCAGGCGGATGGTTATCCTCTGTTCCTTTGAGGTTGCAGTTAAGGAAGTCAAGGTGACAGTGAAAGTGGCCAAAAGTCCTGCTCTTCAGTGCAAAGTCAGTTACTGATAAAACGTTTATTATCCAATATATAATCCTGGATGAAGCTGCTGATTTGCTGACAATTTTGCTGAGGAGGGAATGTACCTCCTCAAGTTCTGTCACCAGCCTACTCCATGGTACCACCAACTAGGATGGGAAAGTGGAGAGATTGAATGGTCAGTAGGAATCCTATCTTGCTGTTAAGCCATTGAAGTAGGCCAGATACCACACAAACTACTGGAACTTCATTTGGTTGTTATAGAGTATAGTTACAGAATTTTGAAAGCCTGATAGTTTCCCTTGACCTCCACTTATACTAAATAGAATCAGGGTAGGGGCATCTTAAGCTTCTTTCTCACCCTCTCTTCCTTCCCAGGGTTAAGTGGTTGTTTACCTAACCATTCTTGTATTCCTTCTTCATGGTTAGCTCCGTACTCTACATATCAGATGTTGATCAAATTTGAGTGCAGTGGGTGATAGCATAGTTATAGTAACTTTTAGTCACTCTTGGAGTGAGATGGGTGGTGACTAAATTTGAAAAATAAATAAATAAATAATGTTATTCTAAATAGTCTTGTTCAAGAAAAGCTGTTCATGGAGGGCCTAAAGGCTTATAAGTGACATTAGTAACCTCAATTAATAATATTGTCCTTAATAATGGACTGATGTAGTCATGATACTTTACATTTACATCTTTCGTGGTGCTCTTGTAATAGAAGAAATTATATTTGATATTTTTGTAGCCCTCATCGGTAGATGACAGACAAGGCAGTCGGCCAAGGTCTATGGTTAGATCATTCACAATGCCTTCCTCTTCAAGGCCGCTATCAGTTGCTTCAGTTTCTTCAATCTCATCTGACAGTGCTCCTTCTAGACCTGGCTCTGATGGGTAAGTGCAATATAATATGTAGTGTAGCTCTGCTCTGTACCCTTTTGTTTGTCTTTTTGAAGTTCCAATCTAAGCTATAAGAGGCTATCATGATGTATAAATAAGATATAAGATGTCTATTTTGCTAGTTCTTTCTGAAGCTATTTGCTTTTATTTAATAAACTTTACAGGCAGATTGAAAATCAGTCTTATATCTAGACAGTGAGAAAAAATATTTAGCTTGAAGATTCATATCAGCCTTTTTTTCTTTATCTAAAACACTCAAATTAAGCTGAGTGTGTTAGGTGAATCTCCCTTTTTTTTTTTTTTTTTTTTTTTTTTTTTTTTTTTTT